AGGAACTCATTAGCATAATAGGCTACAACCCCATAGCTTCCCTTGGCTTGCCCAGGTGCCCCATGGCTGCAGGGAGGCCGGGCAAGCCGGTGCTTGGACAGGCCGGGGAAGGCACAGGGAGGCATTGGAGTCGCTGGGAGGTCGCTCTCCAGGCCTTCCCTCTGTAGCCACACAAGCAAAGGTTTTGGCTGTAGTGGGCGTGGCCAACTCTGAAGCCAGCCGGAACTCCGTTCCTATGCGTTCCTGCTCAAAATTAGCCCTGCTCACATGAGAAATTAATGCAATGGTCTGATAGTTGCTGCAGTCTTTGATATATCCCAATTCCAAAATAAGGAGGCAAGTTGAACATTTTCTGTCTGTTGGGCCATTGTTATGTTTCCACATTTGTTGGCACATTCTCGTCAAGAATTAGATGGACTCCATTTCTGTTGCTTGGAACAGCTCTATTGATATCCCATCTACTCCTGATGATTTGTTTCTCCCAGTTGCTTTCAGTGAAGCTTTCATTTCAGTTTCTTCAAAAACTTCTTTGAAGGAATCTGTCATTCTTTCATCTCTTTTGTTCTTCTGTGTGTTGTTCCCATCTTTTTTTATTCTGTTCATTTAATGTATTTCTGTGTTGATCTTTTGGCGTGCCTAATTGTGCTTTAAATTTCCCTTTGCTTTTCTGGATCTTGTGGAACAGGTTTCTTGTTTTTCCTTTTTTGTTGTTCTCCCATTTCTTTATGCTGGCTAGTATAACAGTTATCTTGTCTCAAACTCAAAGATGGCGACGGAGCAGCAACAGCAGCTTACTCAAGGCTCTATCTTTTAACTGTTAATACAAAATATTCTCTTTGAACACACTGCAGTCCAGTGCCAGCAATGTATCATAAGGACAATCATATCACCCTGGAATTCTTTGAAGATAGCCAGAGGAAAAATCAAAGGATAAACCAGCTTTAATTATGCCTGTCTGTAATACCAGCCAAAGTGAGTGGCAAGACAGACCAGAAGCTGTGGAATAACTCTAACTCATGGGATAGAAGTGAAAGAAGGAAAGAATGGAAAAAAATGAATAAAAGACTTAGGAGGAACTCTGATTCACCACCAGCCTCCACCCCCAAGTCAGCAAAACAGTTGTGTGTAGATGACTCATTCTGGGAAGAATTGGTGAGTGAATTATCTTTTACCTCCCCCAATACAAGATCTAAAGATAGGGGTGCACTAAAAGAACAAAGTATTCAGATGCCACACCCCTATGAGAATGACACAGCAGGGGCTGAAAGGGAGGAAGCTGTTTGCCTTCCGGCAGCTAATTTAAAGACCATAAATTTAGACACAGATGCTCAGGGAGAAAATGTGGGAGAAACACTCAAAGATGATCTGCTAAAGTTTGCCAGGGACCCGTGTTTACACCGTGGTAGCTATTTTCCAACAATTTAACAAGATCTCAGCTAAACTGGCTGCCCTAAGAGATGTGTTAAATGAATTAGGAAAGCCAGGTGCAATCAGAGAGCAACACCATAAGGTTTTGGGCTGCTGGGGGTGGGGTGGGCCCTTGCCTCTCTACTCAGTTGCACTGCGCGCAGCCAGCTGGTTAAATGAATTTGGAAAGCCAGGTGCAATCAGAGAGCAAGAAACACAACCGTTGCCTCCTCAGCAAAAATGCAGAGGAGGAGAGGATTGCCATTAACTACTCTTGGATCTCAAATTAACGAAACAGGGCAGCTAACTACGAGGGCGACAGACAGTTTGACCCTGCAAAACAACCAAATAGTACTGCGAGGCATTGTAAAAACATGCTGCTTCCCTTCTTAAACCTTTCCAGCCGCTCTGCGGCTGCGGGCAGCTAGATGAGTGCGGGAAGCAATAGTACTGCGAATTGCTCAGAACTCTCTAAATCAAGGTTGTTGGGTGAACAGAAATCACCTGTTCACTGAGGCAGCTGCTCCGTAAAGAGCCATATTTTGTCGACCTCGAGCAAACAATGAGACTCCCTGCCACTCCCCCCCTATTGGAGAGTCTACTATCCCTCTTATGATGCTGAGAATGAGGAGGTTTCTCGCCCTCTTTCATATAAGCCCTGTCAGAGTCTTCACAGAGGAACGGAAGAAGCCATTACTGACAGCGGCTGTCAATAAAGTGCACTTTGTAAAGCCTTCCAAATCAGATCAGAATTGACCTAAAGGATCTCCTCCAACGTACAGCTATGGAACCATCCAGAAAAGCCCACTACTGAAGGGGGCAGAGCGATCCACCATCAATTCATCTAATATGAAGGAACCATTAAACATATTTGCCCCAGCTAATATACAGTTAAACAGTGAGGCCAAAACCCCCCTTCTGTCTTTTTCTTACTTTGACTTTTTTCTCTTTCTTAATCTCTCTTTTTCTGTGTCTTTCCAGTCCCTTTCTAGTGTTAAGGGTTACTGCCTGAATTTGTTTGTATCGTATTGCAATGGATCTTTTAATTTGTGAAATCTGGGATATGGGCTATATTATGCTGCTTTTACTTTGTCACTGTTTAATTTCATAATCCAGTTTTATTGCCCTATTCACTGTATGGATTATATTGGTCACCCTCCAACAGAAGTATCCCAGTTATCTCATTCCAGCTCTTCAAAACCAAACTCAACTATTTTAAAGACCTCGGTTCCAATAAAACAGCAGATAGAGAATTTTGGAGCCAGGACATAAAATGCCAATTGCTAAAGATACTAAGACTCAAACGACAGAAAAACTGCTACATCTGAGCCCTGGCCATACCAAGCAAAAGCTCCTGCCAAGATAATTGTGCCAAGATTCTTTATTTACTTATTTAATTATTGTTTATATTCTATTGTATAAATACGAAGCCATGGCTAACTTTTGTTTGAAGTGAGAGCGACAGTCTTCTTTGATCGTCAGAATGGGAAAGGCAGGTGATAAATGAAGCCAATGATAAACAAACTGCATATAAGCATATCAAATGAGTACCTGTTCTCATCAGTCTTCCCCTCCCCATTTTCTTTTGTGTTGTGTACAAAATACATAAAGATGTATGCCAACAATATATACAAGCCAAAGTCCCCTCTGGGACATCCCGAGAATCCATTTTGTGTAACCAAAACAGAGAACAGGCAAAAATTATCCTAGAGTGGGCACTGTTTCATTATAAAAGTTAACAAGATTTTTAAAAGTTGGGATGACTGTGGAGAATGGCGCCAAGATGGCGACGGAGCAACAAAAGCTTACTCAAGGCTCTGTCTTTTAATTGTTAACACAAAATATTCTCTTTGAACATACTGCAGTCTACTGCCAGCAAGATAACATAAGGACAATTATATCACCCTGGAATACATTTAAGATAGCTGGAGGAAAATCTGAAAGAAAAAACCTTAGAATATGAACTCAGGTTCACCCAACACTTAGTAAAATTTCCCAGGTTTGGACCAATCTAACGCTAGCAATTCTGAGAGCTTTGATCTCTTGTTTTCAAGGATGAGAAATTAGTACTTTGTTGCTGAGATTTGTATATAATTGTATCTCTAATATCCTGGTTTTGTATTATTTTCGTCTCTAAACTGCATTTTGGAACTTCTCTAAATTTACAAATTATTTCAATGCATTGAGATAACTTGTGGGATAGGAGGAGTGAAAGAAAGTCAAGGGAGGGGAAATGACGAAATGTAAGAAAAGACTTGGGAGTTGCCTCCTCAGCAAAAATGCAGAGGAGGAGAGGATTGTTCTATAAATTATTTCTCTATAAGATTCAAACTGAAGAAATAATTTGAGATGGATCCAGTTGCAGATGCCAGCTTGTTGCAAGAAGCCCCGTTAGGTCCTGTGTTGATTTTTTTCCTTCTTTTCTCGGTTCTTTTAGCGGATTTTTCTCCCAGGGGCTGAAAGGGAGGAAGCTGTTTGCCTTTCCGGCAGCTAATTTAAAGACCATACATTTAGACACAGATAGCTCCGGGAGAAAATGTGGGAGAAACACTCAAAGATGATCTGCTAAAGTTTGCCAGGGACCAGTGTTTACTCACTGCAGACACCGTGGTAGCTATTTTCCAACAACTTAACAAGATCTCAGCTAAACTGGCTGCTCGAAGAGATGTGTTAAATGAATTTGGAAAGCCAGGTGCAATCAGAGAGCAAGAAACACAACCGTTGCCTCCTCAGCAAAAATGCAGAGGAGGAGAGGATTGCCATCAACTACTCTCAGATCTCAAATTAACACCAGGGCAGCTAACTACAAGGGCAACAGACAGTTTAGCCCTGCAAAACAACCAAAAAGTATTGCTAATTGCTGAAACTCTCTAAATCAAGGTCTTTGGGTGAACAGAAGAGAAATCACTTGTTCACTGAGCCAGCTGCTCCATATGGAGCCATATTTTGTTGGCCTCAAGTGAACAATGAGACTCCCTGCCACTCCCCCTATTGGAGAGTGTTATTAACATTCAAGCAATCTACTATCCCTCTCATGCGACTGAGAATGAGGAGGTTTCTTGTTCTCTTTCATATAAGCCCTGTCATAGTCTTCACAGAGGAATAGAGGAAACCATTACTGACAGGGGCTGTGAACACAGCACAGTTTGTAGAGTCTTCCAAATCAGTCCTTGATCCCTTCAAGTCCAGCTTTTGCCCGGGTCATGGGATGGAGACAGTGCTGGTCGCTCTGACTGATGACCTCCATAGGCATCTGGATTGAGGTGGTGTGGTGGCACTGTTGTTGTTAGATCTGTCGGCCACGTTTGACAGGGCCGACCATCAGCTACTGGCTCACCGCCTCGCCGACGTGGGGATTCAGGGGCTTGCCATTCAATGGTTTGCCTCTTTTTTCCAAGGTCGGGGACAAAGGGTGGTGATAGGGGATCAGCAGTCCAGGAGGCAGCCTCTTGAGTGTGGGGTACCTCAGGGAGCGGTGCTGTCCCTGATGTTGTTTAACATTTATATGCGCCTCCTTGCCCAGATTGCCCGGAGTTGTGGGCTTGGGTGTCATCAATATGCAGACGACACCCAGCTCTATCTGATGCTGGGTGGCCAGTCGAATTCTGGCCCAGATACAGCTGTGCCAGAGCTTGTGACTGACCCATGGTCACATCAGCAGGTGCAAGTGGAGGAGTGGGGAATCAAACCCGGTTCTCCCAGATTAGAGTCCGCACACTTAACCACTACACCAAACTGGATCTCTTCCACTGGACCTTAGAATATGAACTCAGGTTCACCCAACACTTAGTAAAATTTCCCAGGTTTGGACCAATCTAACGCTAGCAATTCTGAGAGCTTTGATCTCTTGTTTTCAAGGATGAGAAATTAGTACTTTGTTGCTGAGATTTGTATATAATTGTATCTCTAATATCCTGGTTTTGTATTATTTTCGTCTCTAAACTGCATTTTGGAACTTCTCTAAATTTACAAATTATTTCAATGCATTGAGATCCAATTAGTTGATTGTTCTATCAATTATTTCTCTATAAGATTCAAACTGAAGAAATAATTTGAGATGGATCCAGTTGCAGATGCCAGCTTGTTGCATGAAGCCCCGTTAGGTCCTGTGTTGATTTTTTTCCTTCTTTTCTCGGTTCTTTTAGCGGATTTTTCTCCTATAGCTTTTACATTACACTGTGATGAGATAAAACTAAATTTTGTAAATTTTTCCTATTAATAAAGAATTAAAAAAAAGATTTTTAAAAGTTGGTGCTTTGATTCCAGAGCTCCACGGCAGAGGCCAGGAAGGCAGTTTTCTAAGTTCTTGCAGGCTCTCCCTCCAAGACAGAAGATGCTCCTCAAGAGGATTCCAGAGCAGATATAGTACAAAAAATGATAAGGGATGCTCGGCAGCTGAAGCTTTCTTAATCCCAGGGCCCACTGGCTGAAGATCAGAGGACTGTGATTATACAGCACAGCTCATTTCCCATCAACTGCCGTATCACCCGCTCATAAAGCTTTTCAAGCACTGGTTTGTTTTGCAGGCTGTCCTAACCCATCATGCTCAGACGGTGTAGAAGACTCCCTCAAACTTCAGAATGGCAGAAGTCAGGCGCAGCCTCTTACCTAGTGGACTTGAGCTGCACTTCATCCTCCTCTTCATCATAGGGGCCACCCTCGGGAAGCACACGATGCTGGGACGCCAGGAAGTTGAACATGTCAAAGGTGCATTTCCTGGAGAAGAAGGGGAGAAGGGAGACCGGTTCCATTTTAGGCCCCCGGAATGGTTCTCCTTCCCATTCCCACCCCCCTGCTTTGTACGTTTTGTTCATCGTTCACCCACCCTACTCAATGAAGATGGAATTGTTCAAGAGGATGCTTTTACAAAAGGTCAAGAGCTGTAGTTTATGGCACTGTTTTATTACACGCATTATCATGTTTTTATTGCATTGTTTTGGAGCAGGCTTCCTCGGGAGGTGGTGGGCTCTCCTTCTTTGGAGGTTTTTAAACAGAGGCTAGCTAGGTTGCCATCTGACAGCAATGCTGATTCTGTGAACTTAGGCAGATCATGAGAGGGAGGCCAGGAAGGGCTGTATTTCATGGCCCTTTCATACATGCCCAGGGAAACGCTGATCGCCACTTTGGGGTCAGGAAGCAATTTTGCTCCACGACAGTTTGCCCAGGGATCCTGGAGGTTGTTTGTCATCTTCTGGGCATGGAACGGGGTCACTGGGGGTGTGGGGAGGGAAGGTATTTGTGAATTTTATGCATTGTGCAGGGGGTTGGACTAGATGACCCTGGAGGTCCCTTCTGACTCTATGATTCTATGATTCTGAAATCCAATTTTGGCAGTTCTTCTAGGTCATACCTTATAGTATTGTTACTGCAATTTTCTAACCATTGTGATCCAACTGCATTACCCTGTTTATTCTTTGTCTTACACTATTCCTATTGCACTGCTTTAAATTCTGTAATCCGTTTTGAGTCAGTGAGAACAGCGGGCTGCATAGATAAATAAACACCTTTCCTCGCTCAACGCTACCCAGACCAAGGGGCACAATTTAGGCACCTGGGTTTCATCGGACACCCACAGTTACGGAGACCATCGCCAACCTTAAGAGGGGAAACCAAAGGCACTGCCCACCTAACGTAGACTTCGGCCCGGGCACAGCCGTGGGGGTTGAGAGGCAGCTCTTCCTCCTCGCCTTCGTGTTGGTGGTACCGGAACTTGTACTTATGACAGGCCTTGGCGCCATACAGCTGCTCCACCAGGAAGATGATGGCATCGTGGTGCATCCCCAGCATCCGCACGCCATTCATGCCTGCCATGGGAGCGGATACCCTGAGACTCAGCCACCCTGCCGGGTCACCCTGGCTGCAAGAAAAGCCAGGCCTGCCCCCAAAGCCCGGGAACAGAACCCAGAGATCCCCTGGCAAGCTTCCGCCTTGCCTTCCCACCTTGCAGCTCCATGCTATGGTCTGCCACTGCTGAAGCCCCCAGGGGGAGAGGGGGTGGCTGGTCTGGCAACCAGCAAGGACCTCCCCCCCCTTACCTGCAAAGGACAGGTGCTTCAGCCTGGCATTGGTCCGAGCTTCCTGCACCTTCTCGATGACTGCTTTCCAGGCACCTGAAGAGAGAAAAACAGTGTTCCCTCTAAGCTGAGTTAGTATGAGCTAGCTCAGTTTTTTTAGCCTCCAGCTCACACATTTTGGTCTTAGCTCAGGAAGGATGGCTTCAGAGCAACCTAATGTATGCAGTAGCCAAATCGCTCGCTCACAACTTTAATGCCAGCGGCTCACAGAGTAGAATTTTTGCTCACAAGATTCCACAGCTTAGAGGGAGCATTGGCAGCAAGTGATTTTTTAAGGAAGAATGAAGCACCCAATCTCAGATCGGGAGAAATGTGGATCTGGCAACGGATGCCGCTCTCCAACGTAGGCAATGGCATAGCTGCGGCTGATACCCAAGAGGGAAAAAAACCAAGGAAGCCTCAGTGTCAGCAGAGCCTCTGTCACTCCACCACAGGTGAAGGAGGACACGGGCCGCAGTCTCACCCTCGATGCTGTCAGCCTGCACGTTCAAGCCATCCTCGCTGGTGATCTCGAAGCGCAGGTGGGGCTGCGTCTTGCGGGGCACCTCGTTCTCTTTGTCTTCCTGGTTCAGGTTGTCCTCGTCCGAGCTGGAAAGGCCCACTGGGGGAAACAAAGGAGCAAGCCTCTCATTGATGCTGCGGGTGATAGGAATAGTACTAGTTCCACTACTGCCTGCAGGATTGGGTCCAGTGGGGGGGGGGAAGGGGGAAGCAGATTCTCACCCCCACCTCGAGCAGAACTGAGTTGCCATGAGAGACAGTCCGTGTTGAGTAAGGGAGGAAAAATGGAAAGAGAAAACCCCAACAATCTTAGGTGCCAAAAGAAGTGTTTGGGAAGGAACCCTTCTCCTCCAGACACAAACACAACTGAAACAGGAAAACCTGGCCTGAGCAGTTCGATCGCAGGACAGAGCCAAGGTCACCATCTCTGGCCTGGCTCTTGCTTAGCTATTTCGTCCTCCGATCAGGACAGAACACACAGTGATTAATACTTCAAACCACATCATTATAGTCTCATAGTTCTATTCAGTAATCTTTTACAGTTATAGTCTCTGGTCCCAGCTCCTGCCAGCCTAGCAAGAAATTGCAAGTAGATAAATAGGTGCTGCTTCGGTGGGAAGGTAACAGCATTCCGTGTGCCTCGGCGTTTAGTCGTGCCAGCCACATGACCACGGAAATATCTTCAGACAGTGCTGGCTCTTCGGCTTGGAAACAGAGATGAGCACCGCCCCCTCGAGTCAGATTCGACTGGCTTTCGAGCAAGGGAAACCTTTACCTTTAACCTTTATATGATAGCATTAACCTTATAATAAGAAAACTGTTTTCTTACTCTTTTCTTATGTTTCTTGCTTATATGTTTTCCTACCTAGCCCTATAGATAGGAAATAATGGAAACATACATGGAAATATATTATGCTGAAGTACTGATTTTACCATATTTTGATTTGTTACGATATTCTTTGCTGTGACACTTTTTCATGTTTTATATTCTTATATTATGCAATGTCCTTAAAATGTGTTTAACAACTGATGTTTTATGCTTCTCACCTTTCCCTTTGTCCTTTTTGATTTTGTATCCCCTTAAATGGTAAAATAAAAATATATATTTTTTAAAAAAGGGACAGAACTCACATGACCTACTAAAACTGGAAGGGGAGCTTGCGTAGAGAATCAGGCACGTCCGGTTCTCAAGGTAACTGGACTGGCCACAATCCCCCCCACCCTTTGTTTTTCCTGGACAAACGGTCGAGGAAGAGGTGTGCCTTGCAAACCTGAAAGAGGGACGTGCCCCAGAGCAAAGAGGCGCGGACAGGAGCCAGCCTCCCCACTGTCACACTGACAAGCCCACCACCCAGCTCAAGAGGGGGACAGGCAGAGATCCCTGTACCCGTGTATCTGTGCCAGATGGGTTCCAGCAGAGGCTCCTGGCTCTGATCCGGCGTTCCGGGATGGGAGTGCAACACTGTGGAGGCAGGGGAGTGCTCCATCGGGGACCTGCAGGGAGAGGGAGAGATGGAGGCGGTTAGGCAACCTGGATGGGAAAGGCTGGGCTCCCGTGCCCTCCACGTCACACTCACAGCTCGTTCTTGCCGGCGGCGCTTGCCTCCTCTTTCAGCGCATCCAGGTCTAGGATGCCCTTTGCCGTGGGGGTCTTCATCCGAACCTTCCCGATGCTGCAGGGCAAAAGGGGGCCATACGGTCAGGACACAGTGCAACTACCTCCAGCTAGTGCCACAGTTAGGAGGGAGCAAGAAGAAAGCTGCCTGCGTGAAGAGGATGCCGGTGGGGAAGCAAATGGGGATAAAGCCCGGTGTAGAGATCCTGGGCTTGCAACATGGTTGGACGCGATGAAGGCTGGAGACGTCTAATAGCCGATTCAAAGAGTTGAGAAGAGGCTCAAAAGGGGAGTTTTGCATCATCACCAGCATCATCCTTCTCTACTCACTTTCCCCTCTCGTAAAGCTTTACAGGGTTTCTGTACTGCTTCAAAGGCCTGTTTTAAACAGAGGCCAAAGGACGGATAAAGGAAAAACAGGTTGCTTACCTGTAACTGGTGATCTTCGAGTGGTCATCTGTGCATTCACACCCATGGGATCTAGTGCGCACGCGCTGGATCGATCGGCGTTGTAGCAAGCTCTTTAATGGATTTTCGCGCCCAAACCCCGGGCATGCGGAGGAACCCCACCGTGCATGCCCAGAGGGGAGGGCGCGGACATCCCGCCAGTTCCTTCAAACCCCTGCAAATCAACCCCTATTCAAAAATGTAGAAGCTGACAGCAGCGAGGAAGGAGGGCGGGTGGTGTGAATGCACAGATGACCACTCGAAGATCACTAGTTACAGGTAAGCAACCTGTTTATCTTCGACGTGGTCTCTGTGCTTCACACCCATGGGAGATTAGCGAGCAGTGGCCTACCTGGAGGAGGGTGCTGGCAGGCCCTTACTGCGAAGCCGAGGATAAGAAGTGACGTGCCATGTTGGTATTAGAGATCTTTCAGACATCTAGGGCGTAGTAACTTATTGTTGGATCCCCAAGCATCGAGAATAAATCCACGTTTTCAAGAAAAGCAAAATTTATTTCAAGGAGGAAGACCTCCGCCTGTAGGTGGAACTCTGACACTACCTTTGGCAGGAAGGAGATGTCAGGTACAAGGTGGACGCCATCTGGCAAAAATGACAGGTAAGGTGTATTGTGTCTGAAACCCAGTATTTCTCCAACTCGCCTTGCTGAGGTGACAGCGACCAGGAAGGCTATCTTCCACGAGAGGAATTTTAGATCACAAGTTGCGAGCGGCTCAAAGGGTTTCCTTGTGAGCTGACGAAGGACCAGGGGAAGGTCCCAAGGAACGACAGGAGTTTTGATGGGAGGGTAGAGGTGCAACCGTCCCTTCAAAAAACATTTAGAAAACGGATGCGAGAACAGTGTGCATCCCTCAACTTGAACATGGTAGGCCGAAATTGCGGCTGGATAAATGCTTAACAATGAATGTGAAAGTCCTGAGTCAGCGAGGGACAGGAGGTATTGGAAAGCTTTCTCGAGACCTGTGGAGGTGGCTCGAGGGGCATCCTCACCCAAGGAGGAACATTTTCGCCATTTGTAATGGTACAACTTTCGCGTAGTAGGTTTTCTTGCATTTAGCAAAACGTTTGCTATGCGGGTGGAAAAGCTGTTGACAGTATTTTCCAGGCCATCAACTTCATCCGTGGCACGTCGTGGTACAGGGGAGGGGAGCTGGAAAGGAAGAGGAGGTCCTGTGCCGGAGGAAACTGGTGGTAGACCCCTGCTGACAGACCGAGGATGGTTGAGAACAATGGTTGCCTCGGGCACCACGGTGTTATCAGAATGCAGTCCGCTCTGTCGATGATGATTTTGCGGACCACTCAGAAGAATGGGTAGCGGAGGAAAAAGGTAGAGAAGGTCCCTGGACCACGGATAGAAGAGACCGTCCCCTAGATACTGTGGATCCCAGCCACCTCGGCTGCGGAACAGAGGACATATTTTGTTCACTCTGGTGGCGAAGACATCGACTTGGGGAACTCCCCACCTGTGGAAGAGTGGAAGAAAATAGGTTGGATTTATCTCCCACTCGTGGAGATTGAGTCCTGTTCGACTTAGGTGGTCTGCCTGCACATTCATGTGACCTGGGATGTGGGTGGCGACAAGGAAGATGTTGTGGGTGATGCAGAGGTTCCACAACTGGATGGCAAGGTTGCAAAGATGTAGGGAGACAGTGACCTCTTGTTTGTTGACATAATTGAGGGCAGTGGTATTGTCCGTGAGGACCGTAACACATTTCCCCTTGATCAGAGGCAGGAAACTGGCGACAGCAAATTGTATTGCAAGCAGTTCCAAGAAGTTTATGTGCCTCTTTCGTTTCTGAGTGTCCCATTTGCCTCTGATACAGATACCCATCATGTGGGCACCCCAGGCAAGCCATAGTTCTGATAAGAACTGTCCTTGAAAAAGAGCAGTTTCTGTCAAGAGCTCTCTCAGCCCCACCTACCTCACGGGATGTCTGTTGTGGGGAGGGAAAGGAGTTTGTAAGCCGCTCTGAGACTCCTTTGGGTAGTGAAGGGCGGGGTTTACATCCAATCTCTTCTCTCCTCCTCCTCCTCCTCCTCTTCTTCCATGGTACAATGAACAAGTACATCCCACATGTACATGCATACATCTGTTTGTATGAAAGATCCAAAAAATTATAAAGGATCCAGCAATTAGAGTGGCACAAGATACAAAAAGACAGATATTGCTGTGTATGTTCATCAAATTTTCAATTTTCCAAGTTGTATTTTGTTTTTCAGATACATCAAACAACTCAATAAGAACAAAGTCTTCAGAAGAGAAGAAGAAGAAGGACGGACCTTCCCGGGCTTTCTGTAGTCCGTTTCGAACAATATCTTTCTCAGAGGGGTCAAAACTTGGAAAATTGAAAATTTGATGAACATACACAGCAATATCTGTCTTTTTGTATCTTGTGCGACTTAGGTGGTCTGCCTGCACATTCATGTGACCTGAGATGTGGTGGCGACAACAAGGAAGATGTTGTGGGTGATGCAGAGGTTCCACAACTGGATGGCAAGGTTGCAAAGATGTAGGGAGACAGTGCCCTCTTGTTCGTTGACATAATTGAGGGCAGTGGTATTGTCCGTGAGGACCATAACACATTTCCCCTTGATCAGAGGCAGGAAACTGGCGACAGCAAACTGTATTGCAAGCAGTTCCAAGAAGTTTATGTGCCTCTTTCGTTTCTGAGTGTCCCACTTACCTCCGATACAGATACCCATCATGTGGGCACCCCAGCCCGACAGGGAGGTGTCTGTGGTCAGGTTAATTTGGGGTGATGGAGGATGGAAGGGTGCTCCCTGGAATAGATTGGAAGGGACAGTCCACCAAAGTAAGGAGACTTGTACATTGGGAGGTGGGGTCAAGACGGTGGTGTGGGTGTTTCTCATTGGGTCAAATTGGCGAATAAACCATAGTTTTAATGGTCTTTAATGATCTTCAACTTGGGAAAGACCAGGACCGACGTAGTTGCGGCCATAAGGCCGAGTAGCCTCTGACCGAAGGATGGGTATGGATGACAGTGGCTAGGTGAATGATGTCAGCCGCTCTGTTCTGTGGCAGATAAGCCATGCATGTGTTCGAATACAGTAAGGCAATACAATAATGTACTGTATTTCCTGGACCGGTTGAAGTTGAGATTGACTTGCAGGCCCAGGTTTTTTAAGGAGGGACAGTGTCTTGTTGACGTTTGAGACTAGGGCGTCTGCTGTAAGGATACCATGCGGAAGCAGTGGTAGGTGACAAAGGAGTTCAGCGCCCTTAGGTCTAGTATTGGTCGAACGCCTCCATCCCGCTTTGGAACTGTAAAATAGTAGAATCCCTTCCCCTGCAGATGCAGTGGCACCGGCTCGATGGCTCCTTTGTGCAGAAGGACGGACACTTCTTCCAGGAGAGGTGGGGAAGGGGGTGTGGAGACGAAGACAGGAGTTATGGGGTTCTGTGGAATTGGATACGACAACCTCGGGTCAAGATGGACAGCACCCATTTGTCCGTGGTAATGTGACGCTAGGTGTGAAGAAAGGGAGACAGACGGGTTTGAATTGACTCGGTAGGAAGGAAGTCAAAAACCCTGCTTGGAAGATTTCGCCTGTTTGGAGCGAGAAGACTGTTGTTCAGATCCAAACCAAGATTTTTGAAAGGTGGCTTTTGGCCTCCTGAAGACGAGCGCGGCCTCTATTGTCTGTCCGGAGACTGATGACTCGGAGTGCGCTTTTGCCAGGGTGATATTGCTGCCTCGTGGAGGATGAGACTCTTAGAGCGTGAGAAGCCTTTATGCTCTTATCCATATCTTGGAGTATGGAATCAGTCGGAGTGCGCTTTTGCCAGGGTCTACACCAAGGGCGAGGGTGATATTGCTGCCTCATGGAGGATGAGACTCCTAGAGCGCGAGAAGCCTTTATGCTCTTATCCATATCTTGGAGTATGGAATCAGTCGGAGTGTGCTTTTGCCAGGGTCTACACCAAGGGCGAGGGCGATATTGCTGCCTCGTGGAGGATGAGACTCCTAGAGCGCGAGAAGCCTTTATGCTCTTATCCATAACTTGGAGTATGGAATCAGTAGAGCTGTTGAAGAGACCAAGGCCATCAAAGGAGAGGTCTTCGACATAAGACCTAGTGTCTTGAGGAAGATTAGTATTACGGAGCCAGGAATGACTTCTTGGA